TTCGGATTAAGTCAGATTCGGTGTAAGACACTCTCACTGGAACGGATTAATTATGTTATCCGGGGGTCCACTGTAACACCATGGGTTAGTTCTTTTTAACTTTTCAACCATACTGGCATTAATTCAGTGAGGCTTAACAACCACTAACATACCACACACACTTGTGAGATTTCACATCTTTCTAAGCCTTTACAACAGTTATTGCTTGATGTGCTGTTGGATGTAGAAATTGGCAAGATAAGTCAAATCAAACATTCTATAGGTTTCCTGAGGACTTTGGAAGATGAAAACTAAGGATTTCTGCCGTGAGATAGGAAAACCAGGAATCAACAGAAAAATTACCTTCTAGGGAGGTAGTGTACCTTAATATTGGAAAATGGCTCTTGATCCAAGGATTTAAAGCTACCCTCCCTTTCCTTGGATCAAATCTGATTACATCCATTTTCCAGGCACTGTATGACCCATACGAGCTAGTACTTCCCCATGAACACAGTATACAATAAAAATAATAATGAATGATAACAATAATGTAAATGACAAGCCAAAGTTAACAGTAAATGAGCACTATTATTATGTAAGCTCAGTATTCCGGCCTTTGTATTTTGTGTCTTGCCCCTGAGAACCTATGCTGCCACCTGGTGGATTTAGTAAAGATCTAGAGCTCAGCTTTGTGTGCCCTGATTCTCCCTCACTCTAAGGACAGCCACTGGACAAGCCATACCCTTCTCTCATACTCTCTCACTTGGTCTTCAGCCTGGTGTGTAGGGCTAGCAACCCACATCACTGTGTACCATTTACTCAATAAACCTAAGGTTCACCTCCAAGCCTATTATTTTACCAATTCTGTCTATCATAGCCGATAAGTGTAAACCAGTCGATTAATCCTGTGAAAGGAAAAAAAACCTCAATATCCTCTATTTCCCATGCTCACAAATAGAAATGTATTGCTCATGTAAATAAAAACAATGAAAATTAACATACACGTGTCTGCACATTAAAGAAAGTGCATACACACGTATGCATGCACATGAGAGTTAGAGGCAGGATCTATACAGAGCTTTAAGAAGAGATATAATAAAGCTCTCAAAGCCAGTAGAGAGTAAACCCCTGTAGCGGCTAGCAAAGAGGCGGGGCCAGGAGCTGAGACTTAAACCCTGCCACCATATATATGTGAATAACCCCCCCCCACACATACATGTATGCACATACTTCTACACACAAAACAAGCAAAGTGTCTATCAACAAGTGCCTCTGACAATAACCCTCCCCACACACAGAAGCACAAATGTCCTAGGAAAGGTTGGAGGAATGGGGTGAAGGAAGTTGTGTGTGCAAGGGGCTTAGACATCCACCAAGCATGTGTGAGCATGTTAGATAGGAGCAAGTAGAGGCAAGTGGTTTTTATGACTTGATATGCTGCTGGAGTGGGAGCAAAGTAACACTTATGATGGGCTACAGGGAAACCGATTAACAAGACTTGAATCCTGGAGGTGGGAAGTACAGTGCCTGCACTCTGAAGGAGGGATGAGAATATTTGCAGTTTTGAACTGTAGTATTGGCACATCTCTGGCAAGACAGTGGAGTGACAGTGAGAGGGTTTCTTCTTTGGGTCACCTTGCCTCAGTGGGAGATGGCCAGTATGTTAAAAAAAAAAGATTGCCATGGCTTACATAATCTCTCCCTACCTGAGCTGAATTACCATTCTCAAATCAAAGTGGCCACCTTCTTCCTAAATGCTTCCTTAACGTGCCTTAATTTCTTTATCCAAGATATCACACAGGCTGTATTTAAACCAATCTTACACACTAGCAATGATCTCACCAGCAAGCAGGCTGTCAGAAGCTACCACCTAGTTGCTCTCCATACCAGCAACATCAGACTAGTTTTCTTATTAATCTCAGAAGTATTATGGAGATTTGGATAGGCCTTATTAGTAGAGATGCAGCATGAAACAGTATGAAATGCATGTAAACATGAAGTGATGAGAGATGAAAGGATTTGAGAGAAGAGTGGGTCAATAGGGCCTCCCTGCTTAAGCAAATTTGTTCTGTACAGGTTTCAAAAATCCTACCTTTAGGAAAAGATTTATAAATTAAAAGTATTATACATTTAAAAAGACAAAAAAAAGAACAATAGGCTGGTTTGCAAATAAAGATATTGAATTAGCCAATGTCTACTATATTTGTATTAATTTGGTAATAAATTCATGCCATGCTTAGGTTCTTTTTTACTAAAATGGTTGTACCCCTTTTTAATCTGGATGAAAGAATACAAGCATATATATACATAAGACCTTCTTATTGGATATATTTTGGTCCTGGGACCTTTGCACTCCAAATGATACAAGAGAATGAGAAAGCATATGTCCAGTGGAAAATGCAAGTCACCAGAGGTCAGATGAAAGCATGAGATCACCTCTATTTGCAGTGTCACATATGACAACTGAAAGACAGCATGTAGCAGTATCAAGTGTACAAGAGATGCTGAGATGTAATAGTTACCAGCCCTTTGTTCTATGGTGATGGAAGTAGCAATTTATGATACTTCCAAACAATGGCATCTATTCTGGTCTAGTTCTCCATACTTTATTTCTGTGTTGTCCCAGTGCGTGAAATGGTTCTCTTTAGACCTACGTTATGCACGACTGCAAGTTTAGAGCAAAGACCATGCTCAACTTTTGCCAACAATGCCACTACTGAGAAACCTAAATTTTTGGCCCTCTCTGGAGAAGAGGCTACCAACACTACCCAGGTTCTTTCTAGAAGCAATGCCCAAGAAATTGCTATGGCTATGCCTTCCATCAGAAACTACACAAAGATCTCTGTGAAACAAGAGCATACACCACACCATGTGAGGAATGCGTCATGATCTATATTGGAGAAACTAAGTATTCTTGCAACATGTAATTTACAAGAATACAAATATGTTTGTAACCAAGATGACACCAGCAATGCTCATCTTGTATGCAAACCAAAATTTGTAAGAGAGGCCATCTCATTTAATAAAAACTCAGAAATAATCTAGAGGCTGATGGGAATAAGCACTGTTGTACTGTACTACAGTGGACTCCCGCTTAACGATCACCTCCCAATGCGACCAATTATCTAAGTGTATTTATGTAAGTGCGTTTGTACGTGTATGTTTGGGGGTCTGAAATGGACTAATCTACTTCACAATATTCCTTATGGGAACAAATTCGGTCAGTACTGGCACCTGAACATACTTCTGGAATGAAAAAATATCGTTAACCGGGGGTCCACTGTATTATTAACTGCTAGTCCCAATAAAACAGAACAAGGGGCTGGCAATTATTAAATCTCAACAACTCTAGTACACATGCTACCTCAGTTGCCATGTGACATTGCAATTAAGTGACTTCACACCTTCACCTGACCTTCTCCTGTGATTGGCATTCTCTACTACTGTTAATGTGCTTTCTCATTCTCTCAAATCACTTGGAGCTGGTGACAAAGCCACATGAGGGTGGGCTAAGGGGTAGTTAAAGTCCTTACCCCAAGGCAAATATATTTTTTTTAATAAATGGTTAATTTTCATTCTGTTAAACTGATCAGTGACAACAAAGGTATGATAGTTTAAAAAAATTCAGACACATACTGAAAATGGCACATTGTTAAAGATGATTTCTTCGATTTTTTCAGGATCTTATAATTTTTAAGCCTCCTAGACTGAAATCCACCCTTCCCCAATGAAACACCAGGATTGGCTGTGCTACTGTCTGGAGTGACCTAGGTCCCAGGACCAATGCATATCCAACAAATGCAAGAATCGTGAACAAGTGATACAAGATACAGAACAACCATAGGAGCTGAATGATAGCCTTAGGCCTTTCATGTTGAAATCAACACATCATTAGGAGCTTGCAATGTTGCATTATTATTATAATCATGGGGGAGCGCTAAACCCGTAGGATTATACAGTGCATGTGAGGGGGGGGTGGAAGGTATTCAGGCTCAATTCAGAGGACTGGAGCACAGATCCAATTCCCTAGATCAAGAGCCCCTCACAAGCATCATGGAACCTCCCTTGAGGGGTTGCAATGTTGCAGAAATGAGTAAGAGATCTCAGCAGATTCGTCCCTCTGAACAAATCTGCTGAGATCTCCTACTCATTTCTGCAACACTGCAAGCTCCTGATGATGTGATGATTGCAACACGAAAGGTCTAGAACTACCATTCAACTCCCCTGTGGTTGTTTTGAGTATCCAATAAAGATGTCCTAAGTTATGCACTGCTGTTCTTGCATCCACACTGTCAGTATCAATATACCTTCCACCTCTTTGTTTTATAAGCTTCTGCTAATTCCAACTTGGTATAAAACAGGAATACACTAATGTTTAGTGTTATTACCAACATGTAAAACCTAAACAATTACCAAGTCACATAACAACAATAAAATGCTTGGATATAATTTTGACTGTAAACTTACTCTCTAAATTTGGAAAAAGGAATATATGAACTATGGAGGTACTTAAAACAATGTTTACTAATCATTCAATTTTTCACAACAGACACAAGACAATAAAATGAATACATGCAGATTTTCAAAACATGCTAGGAAGGGTTGGTTTTGCAATGCAGTTGTGTAAGAGTGGAACAAACTGCCAAGCAGCATAAATGAGGCAAATACTCTGAACTTTAAAAAAAAAAAAAAAAAAAAAATAATTGGGTGTATGTAGAAGATGCTTCAGAGGAAAAGGCAAAGCTGATTCATTGATCCACTAGTTTGTACTATAATGTTCATTAATACCATACCTGTTTTCATTATTTTTCTCTTGCCTCTCCTGTCAGTGACATCATACTTCACTATACATTACAAGCTCATTTTCAATAGCTCATGAGAACTTGAGTCTACATTATAAAAAACAAAATGCAGGCACCTACCTAATAGTACACACATAATGCAGGGGACTACCACTTAAAGCTACTGTAATAAAGAAAAATATCCAAAACAAGAACAAAAATTTAGATTATAATGTTTACCTATATGCTGCTTCAGGGCCTGTGGTTTTATTGCATGTCCACAAACGTCACAAACCACCAGGTAGAAGTCTTCCCAACGAGGACAATATCCATATATAGACATTTCTGAAACATTAATAAAAAGTTAAGTCAAGTATTTTATATTAATGTGTTTAATGATACTGTAATTTCAAATTCAATTAACTTGCTTATCAACAATCATCATCAAGCTGCTAAATGCAGCTTAATATGTATTATAAATTATTATTTTAACACATCATTAATTCCTCAGGAGGAGATTTATCTCAGCTCACTTAACCCTTTCACTGTTTTGGTATACGTCTTACGAGCCAGTGTTTCGGACACATATACATGTATACTCAATAATTCTAGCGGCTTCAAATCAAGCAGGAGAAAGCTGGTAGGCCCACATGTGAGAGAATGGGTCTGTGTGGTCAGTGTGCACCACAAAAAAAATCCTGCAGCACGCAGTGCATAATGAGAAAAAAAACTTATCTTTTTTTGGATTAAAACGCTGACTTTGAGGTGTATTTTCGTATAGTATTTATCATTGTATTCTCGTTTTCATGGTCTCGCGTGATAAAATGGAAAACATATTACAGAAATAGAGATGATTTTGATTAGTTTCATGATGAAAACGACCTTAAAACTGAGCTCAAAGTAGCGGAAATGTTTGATTTTTACCAATGTTCAGGAGTAAGCAAGTCACACCAGACATCCAATACACGTCAAATGAGGAGTCTAATATTCTTACATTAGTGCACTGATATTATTTATACCATTTGTACAATAATGCAGTAGTCTGCATAATAGTAAATTTTGTATTTTTTGTATGAATAAAAAATCAAAATAGAAAGCAATAGTAATATAAGAGGGGCCTAGAGACATGACTAATGAACAGAGGATATGTTATTTTAGTGCCAAGAATGACTACATTGTTTATTCTGGACCCTATTTTGAAATTGGCATCTTTTTTAATTTGCATGAAATTGGCCAAATTGCCAATTTCTGACCACTTTATTGGGTAGTTCAAATTGGTAAATGGGCGGTTTCTTGTATTCGACTGATAGAAAAAATGGAGTTCTAAAGAAATAGCTACGAGTCTGGTCAACTGGAACAATGGAATTGGCCAAAAACAGGGCTCAAAGTCGAAGAAATTGCTGATGCGTATATGTCGCAGAGACCGCTAACTTCGCAGGAGTGTAATGCCCTGAGTTTTTGACCAAATTTCATACTTTTGGTGTCATTACCCTCAGGAAAGAAAAGATTCTCTATCATTTCATAAGAAAAAAAAGTTTTTCTTTTTCCAAAAATTTTGCAACATAAAATGACAGTTTCAGAAAGGGGCTTGCGACAGTCAAAGGGTTAATACCAGTGACAACTTTACTAAAATAAAAAATATTTAAATAACAGTATTTTAAAGAATATAAACGACTAGCCAGTATGGATAAAAAAAAAATGCATGTCTGCTGATGATACCAATACCTTCTGCCAGGCAAATACTAGTACCATTACTACTACTGCCTTGGGAACCCCCCCAACCACTGCCACTATCTATCACTGCCGGCCCAACCACAACTATTGCTGCCCCAACCGCAACCACCCCAACCACTGCCATTGCCACACCAATCGCTACCATTGCTCTCTTTGCTGTCCCATTACTATTATTATAATAAAAAAGAAGCGCTAACCCACAGGGGCTATACAGCGCTGCAGGGTAGGGAGGAAGCAGGGGTATCAGGTGGCAAAAGGGAGAGGGACAATTAGTAGGGTACGGAGAACAGTGGGGCAGTGGATAGTACAGGGGTAGAGTGTAGCAAGAGATTGAGGTAGAAAGGGCTGAGGGGAGTGTGAAAGGTATTGTCATCAGAGTTTGTGGACTAAGTCAGTTGTTGCCAAGAAGTCAATGAGAGTCAGGATTAAAGGAGGGTCCATCAGCAAGAAGGGAAGGTAAAGAGATAGTAGAGCGGAGATGACGCTGGAGGTAAATTCTGCGTGCTCGTTGATAGAGAGGGCAGTCTAACAGAATGTGGTTAACCGATACTGGAACCTGACACGTCTCACAGAGAGGAACAGGGTGCCTCTCCATGAGATACCCATGAGTAAGACGAATGTGGCCAATGCGAAGACGGGAGAGAGTAGTCTCCCAACCTCGACATTGATAACAAGAAGATGGCCAGTAGCCTATACTCGGTTTAATAGAATGAAGTTTGTTACCGAGTAAATTAGACCAACGCTGTTGCCAACGGGTGTGAAGGTGGGTAGCTATTACAGCAAAATAGTCCGTAAATGAAACACCTCTATATGAAACTGGTAGGTCATGTACTGCTGACCGCGCAGCAGTGTCTGCCTGTTCATTGCCCTGTACGTCAACATGACCAGGGACCCAACAAAAAACAATATCTTTATGCTTGGTAGAGATATGGCATAGCCAAAGTTGGATACGGAGGACTAGGGGGTGAGGTGTATCAAATTTTCGTATAGCCTGTAGAGCACTAAGGGAGTCTGAGATAACCACAAATGATGACACAGGCATAGATGCAATACGGATAAGTGCTGCAAGAATGGCATACAATTCAGCTGTAAAAATGCTAGCCGAGGATAGTAAATGTCCTCGCACGACACTGTCCGGAAACACTGCTGCGAATCCAACGCCATCAGAAGACTTAGAGCCATCTGTGTACACTGCGATGGCATGAGAATGAGAGCGGGAACTTTGCTGTCCCAACCCCTATCACTGCTGTCCCAACCGCTATCACTGCTGTCCCAATTGCTACCACTGCCACCCCAAATGCTACCTTTTCTGTCCCAACAGCTATCACTGCCATCCAACTGGTAACCCTGCTGTACCAACCACTTCCAGTGTTGCCTCATAGTTCCCACTATTGCTGCTCCCATTACATGCTGTTACTGCTATTCCTAATGCATGTTCCACTACCACTGCATGAGTTGAATATAATGCTGTTCCTTCAACATGAGTCCCTGCTTTGATGACCAAGAAATAGGCATTTGTAAAGTAGCATGACTGTAATAAACAGGCAACTTGAAACAACTCATTGAAGATCAAAATGACTACGTCACCAGTGACTCCATCAAAAAAATTTTTGACTGCCAGCTCTATCACTGCTACTCTCATGTTACCTATAACACTGCTGCTACTGCTCCTGTTGCACATGCCACTGTTCCTACTGTTCATGCTGCTGATGATGCTCCTGCCCTCATGCATGATCCTTGCCACTGCTGGTGTTCCTGCCGTCAGTACTGCTTCTCCTGCTACCCGTGCCACTTACCACATCACCAGGCCTCTGCTGATGCTCCTGCCACCCTCGCTGCTGCTGATGCTTCCACTGATCATGCCGCTGGTTAATATTTCTGCCACCCATACCGCACTGATGCTTCCACTACCAACACCACTGCTGATTATTCCACTACCAATACCACTGCTGATGCTTCCACTACCAATACCACTGCTGATGCTTCCACTACCAACAACACTGCAGATTATTCCACTACCAACAACACTGCTGATTATTCCACTACCAACAACACTGCTGATTATTCCACTACCAACAACACTGCTGATTATTCCACTACCAACAACACTGTTGATTATTCCACTACCAATATCACTGATGATGCTTCCACTACCAATACCACTGCTGATGCTTCCACTACCAATACCACTGATGATGCTTCCACTACCAATACCACTGATGATGCTTCCACTACCAACACCACTGATGATGCTTCCACTACCAACACCACTGATGATGCTTCCACTACCAATACCACTGATGATGCTTCCACTACCAACACCACTGATGATGCTTCCACTACCAATACCACTGATGATGCTTCCACTACCAATACAACTGATGATGCTTCCACTACCAATACCACTGATGATGCTTCCACTACCAACACCACTGATGATGCTTCCACTACCAACACCACTGATGATGCTTCCACTACCAATACCACTGATGATGCTTCCACTACCAACACCACTGATGATGCTTCCACTACCAACACCACTGATGATGCTTCCACTACCAACACCACTGATGATGCTTCCACTACCAACACCACTGATGATGCTTCCACTACCAATACCACTGATGATGCTTCCACTACCAATACCACTGATGATGCTTCCACTACCAATACCACTGATGATGCTTCCACTACCAACACCACTGATGATGCTTCCACTACCAATACCACTGATGATGCTTCCACTACCAATACCACTGATGATGCTTCCACTACCAATACCACTGATGATGCTTCCACTACCAACACCACTGATGATGCTTCCACTACCAACACCACTGATGATGCTTCCACTACCAATACCACTGATGATGCTTCCACTACCAACACCACTGATGATGCTTCCACTACCAATACCACTGATGATGCTTCCACTACCAATACCACTGATGATGTTTCCACTACCAATACCACTGATGATGCTTCCACTACCAATACCACTGATGATGCTTCCACTACCAATACCACTGATGATGCTTCCACTACCAACACCACTGATGATGCTTCCACTACCAATACAACTGATGATGCTTCCACTACCAACACCACCGTGTTCGTCAAGAACTGCAAGAAGCCCCTATCACGAGCCTTTTCCATCCTATGGGGAGGGAGCATGGACACGGGGGTCGTCCCACAGTTACTAAAAACAACAAACATAGCCCCACTCCACAAAGGGGGCAGTAAAGCAACAGCAAAGAACTACAGACCGATAGCGCTAACATCCCATATCATAAAAATCTTTGAAAGGGTCCTAAGAAGCAAGATCACCACCCATCTAGAAACCCATCAGTTACACAACCCAGGGCAACATGGGTTTAGAACAGGTCGCTCCTGTCTGTCTCAACTATTGGATCACTACGACAAGGTCCTAAATGCACTAGAAGACAAAAAGAATGCAGATGTAATATATACAGACTTTGCAAAAGCCTTCAACAAGTGTGACCATGGCATAATAGCGCACAAAATGCGTGCTAAAGGAATAACAGGAAAAGTCGGTCGATGGATCTATAATTTCCTCACTAAAAGAACACAGAGAGTAGTCGTCAACAGAG